GAGGCTCTCCAAGCAGATCTAGGAGGCTAAGATTTTCTCACCATAAGAGGACAAAGTCGGTCAAGTATGGCCCAATGGACTAATTATTATGAAGTTCTCTTAAAAATGAATTCTTCATTGGAATCACTTGCCACTTAAAATGCCCATGGTTTTTCTCCTTATGGTAGCTATAGCAAAGTGGGAATATGGTAAATTCTCAATTAGCATTGAAAGGAAGTATAAGGGAAATTGTGTGTTTTTAAAAACTGCTGCTTAGAGGAAAATACAGGCAAGCAGAAAATATAAAATAAATACTGAACACTTGTGTACAATAGTAACTGATAGGAAAAGATAAATGCTACAAAGTGGTTTTAATATATTGAAAATTGCTACTTAGGCATAGAATTTGTTTCCAAGTTTCACCAAAATAAATACTGAACACTTGTGTATAATAGTAACTGATAGGAAAAGGATAAATGCTACAAAGTGGTTTTAATATATTGAAAATTGCTACTTAGGCATAGGATTTTTTTTCCAAGTTTCACCTTTAGGTCACATTAATAGTTATGAATTGAAAATAACAGCATATACTATGTTCAAAAAATTTTTTTTCAAATGTAATGAATGGTACAAATGTGAGGAAGGTCCTATTCCTTCTAGGAGTTTATCCATGAGTGGCAAAGATAAATAACATGATTTAAAATGAAAAAAAAAAAAAGACGGGAATTTACAAGAAAGGAGGTCTCTGGAGTGATTAAGAAGACTGCATGCAAAAGTAGTCTTGAAGGATATATATACTTTCAAAAAATAGAAATGATATGGAGATATAAGCATTCCAATCATATGGATAGCTTTAACTGAACACTGATGACAGACAGATCTAAAACTCCTCCTGCTCTCATTCAACCAACATTTATTGAGCATCTACTGCATGCCATGCTTCTCCCTTCCTCTCTGAAATCAATAAGAATATATTTTTAAAAAATTAATAAAATGGCAAATTAGAACCTTAAACAAAATGGGAAGTAACCACAATATAGTTCATCCACTGACCTCTCACCAGCAATCACTATCATGCACTATTTGCCAAATTAAACAGAGGACCTACCTCTATTATGCAAGGGCTTTTATTTATATTCTCAAATATAACCTGTCCCTGCTCATTATCAGAGATAACAGGGAATCCAGATCACAGGAAAAAGAAAAATACGTATCCCAAGCAAAGATAAACATTTGTATTTATCCATTTTATCTCCTAGTCTCATAATACACACACACACACACACACACACACACACACATACATACATATACACACATCAATGCTATATTAATTAGTTTATAGATACTATATTCTACTTTGTTTAGAGTTATAGTAAAAGAATTATTCGATCAATATTAAATAAGTTGCACATTACTTAATCTGGGACATGTGTTTCCTTGCATATTTTTATGATTCATAAGTATATTGTTATTTAATTTGGAAGAATTTTACTGAATTTTCAGAGCTTAAAAATACCTAAAAATTCTTAGAAAAGTTTAATATTTA